TTTTTTACGACAACTGTCTTGTCCACGGCGTCTTTTATTCGTTCCACTGGGGTTTAGCAGGTGTGTTTATAAAGAGACGAAAATTGTTTGGGGACTATCCCCCACGTTCAAGTTGAGATGGTATAACCCAAGAGGCAAAATGACGCTTGCTACTGTTGTTGCGAGTTGCCATTCGTTCTACTAAACCATTAGTCAAACGCCATCATGTCTTCTGTCGTTATTTCACAAACAAAAATCTCTTTACTGTTACTAGTGTTCGTGCCTCAATATGGCTACGCTCGTGAAAGCAATACAACGAACTCAAACGCGTCTTCGTTCAATGTTGTCAACTAATATCCGGATTAATTTTATGCAAATTGTCCTCAATTCTTCAGAGAAATTTTCATAAAAATTTGAAAAACCCGGAATTCCGGGAAAATCCGGAGGACTTTCATCTCTGCTATATTTTGACCGAAGGCTTCGGGCCGGGGAACTGCGGTGAGACTTTGATGTGCAACTTTACAAACTATTACCTGAACATCCCTTTTTAAGTGCGCGGCGCATACAGTGCATTGAAACAAATGTGATCACTTGACACGTCGGATTCAAGGTGACGATTTGATGAAGTAGTCTTTTCTCTTTTGTCCCCCCCCCCCTCCTTCCAGTGGCTGCGTGTGCTGCCCGCCAGCAGGCAGAGCTTTAACACGGTTTTTGGAGAGTGTCCTTACTGCAGCAAGGTACGCCTGCACGCTACCTTGTGACTGACAGCTGCCTTCATAAAGGCCTTTGCCGCGTCGTCAATAGACATTCAGCATGCTTAATTAGCATAGCTCGGTACATCGGCTGGCCTTCTCTTTGCTGAAAGGCTATTGGCAGCAGAAAAAGGTGCCGCATTCATTGTGGAGCTACTCGCTCCGTCGTCATAAAGGAGTGAGTAAAGTATGTGCCAGTGAATGCCGCGTGTCATTGAATCAAAGTCAAAAATGAACTTATTTGTGTGCGTGCCTTCCGGTGTATTTGATAGCTCGGCTCGGCAGAAACGAGAGTGCACTTTATTGCATTGTTGTTAAGTATCCTTCATGAAGCATTTGACTATTTAATAAGCGGAGCTCTCCCTCTATTTCAGCCCATTACTGTGAAAACGGCAGCACAGAAGTCCTGAGAAGTGGCTCGGCGTGCCGCGGCAACTAAAGGAAACGGCCTAAAAGCTAATTAGAGCCAAAGAAAAGAAAGAAGGTCACTGTTCTCGTTGAAAAAGGGAGAAGTGAAAAATCCTGCGCGGAGGGACAAAAAGATGAATCAAGCAAAGTCCAACAGCCAGCAGAAGGGCGGCGGCCATCAAGACTTGCCAGGAAATCATCTGGCGGGAAGCAGTTTGCTCTCCCACATCATCCCGCTGCTCTGCTCTGCCAAAACACACATCTTCCGAAGTCAAGCTCTCACGCGCGCAGGTGGTAAACGCGGGTCTTCTCCTGACTTCCTGATTCACACCGATGCTGTCGAGGTCATCTGTATTTCGGGATCCTCTTGTGAAATCTATTGTCTGTTAAAGAGGGCAATTTAAGGGTTTGCTCGATTGCAACCAAAGTCTTTGATGAAACATTCAAATAAAGAGAAAACACCTTTTTTTTCCAGCTCAATACTTTTTTTTTGGTTTGTTTATTTTTGGGGCAAAAATTCTTGCGAGCAATCGGCCTAACGTTTACACGGGGGGTCTCTATCTCACACCTTTTTTGGCCGACCTCTCTTTCCTATCGGGGGGCCTCTTATATAGCGGGCATCAATGGGTTGGCTTCTGGCCTCCTCTTCATCATCATCATCGTCATCCGAGCTGTCCTCTTCCTTGTAAGTCTTCACTGGTGTCGTCCTCTTCCTCAGTGATCTTTGGACCCTCTCGCTCTTCTACAAAAAAAAAAAAACGTAATTATGACTGGAAAAAAGATGCAACTAATCATCCCAGACTACTAACAGCCTGATTAAAGGTGACTCGGTACTTCACTTGATAAAAATCACCTCCCACCACCATTATTCACCAAGAAAGTAGGGTGAATGACCGTACAGCTCCTAGCAGCCATGATGGCCAGGATTGGCCCAGAAATACCATCCTTTCCGCTAATTTAACATTTTTCCGAAAATTCCAGAGAGCCGCTCCACCTCACAGAGTGTCCTGACTTTTGGGAGGACGAAGAGTCCAGAGCCAGAGGACCTCAGAGCTTGCGAGGGTTCATAAGGTAAAAGGAGTTCAGAGCGATAACATGGCCCAAGCCCATTCAGACATTTCAAAACAAATCAAAGGACTTTAAACACGAGAAGCCAATACAGTGATTTTAAAAGTCGATGTAATGTGTTCCCACCAAGAGGTCTTTGTCAGGACACGCGCTGGCGAGTTCTGTAATAATTCTAAGCTTGAAATGCTTTTTTCTTTTTTTTTTTAAAGACCAGAGAACAGGGTGTTGCAGTGATTGGTGATAGAGATGCTAATGCTTGCATTTGTGTTGGCCTGAGAGAGAAACTCTGGCTACAGTCTTCAAGTGATAAAAAACAATTTTTTACCGTGCGGTTTAAAAAATAAAGTGAGCTCAGAGGCTTGAATAACACTTCGGTTTCTCACTTGTTATGAGGGGTTGAATGATCATTCTTGTAATTTGCCTCAATACACGTCTCTAAAAAGTGACTCAAACTTCAGTTATGCATATTATAATGTAAAAACTACCAGGACTATAAAAAAAACTACGATTTGGAATTGCATTGCATTGTAGGCTGGACTCTTAGGAAACTCTGGCTACAGTCTTCAAGTGATAAAAAACAATTTTTTACCGTGCGGTTTAAAAAATAAAGTGAGCTCAGAGGCTTGAATAACACTTCGGTTTCTCACTTGTTATGAGGGGTTGAATGATCATTCTTGTAATTTGCCTCAATACACGTCTCTAAAAAGTGACTCAAACTTCAGTTATGCATATTATAATGTAAAAACTACCAGGACTATAAAAAAAAACTACGATTTGGAATTGCATTGCATTGTAGGCTGGACTCTTAGACACAATGGTAAGTAGCCCCCCCAAGACACCCGCAAACTACTGCAGCTGTTGTATAACTCGCCTGAGCTGAAGTCCTCAGCACGGGTAGCATATTTCAACCGTAATAATGAAATTGGCCCCAGACAACTGCAGCGCAAGGGGGCGGGGTCCTCTGTTTACTTCTACCGCGTATGCGAGTTGCAACGTGTCGCGAGGAACCGCTAACATCGTAATCAAGTCATAATTAGGATGAATAGCTCTATAAGAAAACAAAAATTAAAAAAACAATCCATTGAAAATCTTAAGTATGGCAGTGGTTTGTTTAAAACGCACAGTAGGTGCTGTAATCATAAACTCACCAACGTCAAGCGCCACCCCACCAGGCCCTGCTCCTTAAAGGCGCATGCATTTACACAGGCAGTAATGTAGGAGGTACCCGACTTTCTACACTTTGTGCTTGCAATTTTAAAAAGAAAAATGTCACCATGCGCACGCTACTTGCGCAGTGACCAATCAAAAGGCATCTTGCAGTCAAGCATTTTGGAAATGGCAGCCGCCCGGCAAAAGTTGTTTGCTGTCACATTGAGAGTGTAAATTTGTATGTGGCCAGATGTTCATGACTGAAACCGAAGACAGCCGAAATGATGCGACGACTCATTTAGTTGACGAGGCGTCGCCCGCCGTCATCTCAGTCGCTTCAGCCGCCGCATGCACAATAATGCCTGCTGTTTCTTGACAGTTTTTTTTTTAAATAAATATGTAATGTTCAAAGTGATACACTTTGTTGTTTTGAGCAAATAATCATTCACTTTAAATTTTATGGCTGCAGCGTGTTCTGAAAAAGCACATTTCAGCAAGACAGTGCCAAACCACATTCTGCATGCGGCTTCTTGGTAAAAGAGTTTGGCTCCGGGACTGGCCTGCCTGCAGTCCAGACCTGGCGCATTATGAAGCCGAAAATATGACAATGGGGACCTCGGACTGTTGAACAGCTGAAGCTGAATTATCAAGCAATAACAGAAAAGATTTACACCGACAAAGCTTCAACAATCAGTGTCCTCAGTTCCCAGATGTTGATGGAATGTTGTCGAAATGATGTTACAATTTTTCCAGACCATACCTGTGGAAGGGGTGGCCCTCGTCTGTAGTTTCTTGGCACTTGTTTTGGCTTTTTCTCCTCCTTGTCCTCTTCATCCTCCACCTCGTCATCGTCGTCGTCGTCATCATCGTCGTCATCAACAACCACTTGCATGGCGGCAGACTTTGCTTTGGGCAGACCCCGAGCTTTTGCTGTTCTCTGTGATATTGAAAATAACAAAAATCTCAACCGAAAAAAAAATGAAAGTATAGATTTTGTCACATTAACACTTGCTGGCTTTTCGCAATAGAGCTGGCATGATGTGAGAAATGATAATTGACCAGGCGACACCGGTGACTAATGAATCCAAGATGGCCTTTGTCTCTCCTGACATTTCCTCTCTTCACTAAACTGCCTCGTAAATGGCCACTTCTGTTTAACTAGGGGGTCAAACTGGCCAGCACTTTCACATGGAAATTAAATGACACGGTGAGGAGAGAAACAGGAGGGAGGCATAATTGGGAGATATAAAGTATATGTCATCAACTTCTTCAAACGGTGGCCTGAGGGGTCGGGAAGTGATTGCGGTGAATTGGAGGAGAATCCTCCAGTGTTGGACCCGCTCACCTCTGGTCGACATGCTCCCCCCTTCACTGCTGTCACATCTCACTCGAGGTTAAGAGACTCAGCGGCGCAAATTGGCATACTTGTGACCAGCAGTCAAACTGCTGAATGCAGTGTAAAGCTGAGAAAATGGTGATTTATATTACTTTACGTAGGAAAAAAGAGTCAATTTGTGAACCCCCAGGAGCGAGGGTGACAGTGAAAATCAATGTAGCTAGCAGAAAGACTCACATTGATAGTTTTTTTTTTTTTTTGCAACATGCATTGCTTCATACATCCAATTTTTCGATTAGCTTATCCTCACAAGGGTCGCAGGGTGCGCTCAAGCCTATCCCAGCTGTCTTTGGGCAGTAGGCGGTGGACACCCTAAACCGCTAGCTAGGCAATCGCAGAGCACACAGAGACAAAAATCCATCTGCGCTCACACTCACACGTAGGGACAATTTAGCATTCAATTACCCTGCCAGCATGTTTTTGGAATGTGGGAGGAAACCGGAGTACCCGGAGAAAACCCACGCAGACATGGGAGGAACATGCAAACTCCACACAGGAAGGCTGGAGCCGGAATCGAACCCTGCACCGCTGCACTATGAGGCAGATATGCTAACCAGTCAACGACCGCGCCGCCCGTAACTTTTTTTTAAAGATATAAGTCATTCCAAATGTGCACCGTGAGCATTGGGGATGGAAGGGGGCAGGGGAGATGCGCTTGGGACAGACCAATCGCGCTCATCTTTGCATTGGTGGATATTTGACTTGAATCTAATCCCACTGAAACATTAAACATAAAGTGGACATTTGTGATGGCAGTAAAACGTCTGACCTGCAGACGGTGCATTTGTGACACACCTAAATGACGTACCGTCATCTTTCGTAGACGCTTCCATGAAATGATGGCTCTTTTACTTGTGTATGATGCAGTTCACGATTTCATCGTGTCATGCTTAACAGATGAACAGGTCCGTTTTATTTTACAAGTTTATTACAAGTGAATCCTAGATTTAAAGTGTGTGGTGGGAGTATTTTTGGACTTAAATTAACTATTGCAGATTGACTGTTCTGCCTTTTGTCAGGACTAACTGAAAGGACTTTCTTTAAAATGATCTGCCAATGGCATAATAGAGACTTTATGTATCCAAAGTGTTCATGGTATCTGTTGTTTGGTATTGGTATCAGTGAGTACCAAGAAGTCAGGAATCTTACTGATATCAGTATGGGAAAAACAGTGGGATTGAACATCGCCATTTTTTATCATACTCAATATCATTGCAGACATCAGATTACGATCATAATACTGTCAAGTGAGCCACCAAAAGGTTTTGTACCACAATGTCCAAAAAGTGCAATTTTGGTCCCAAATACGGTTGAAACAGGATTAGGGTTGGACGTCGAAAATGGAGTGGAACCGGGACAAACATTCTGTTTCTCCCGGAATCTTTTCAATTTTAAAATGTGGGTTCCGAATTTCAATGCCTAGTTTGCCACGTGGAATAAGCACAAAAGAAGAAGGATCGAGAGGAAATGGGTGTGCACGGCAGCTCGGCCGGTCAGCGCATAACTAAATGTTACCAAAATATAAGACACAGCACTCGTGATGATACAGTACAGCACTAGTCCAATGCAATCACAATGTAGTAATATTTGTTCTCCTCTTTATTTACTCAAATAAGATGACACAGGGGGTCGAGTCCAAGCCCTGTCTCAGTGTCTCAATAATGTTGTCCATACAGTTGATTACATGCATACAGTGGTGCAACTTTAATCTAGAGCAGGAATCGTGGGAGTTAGATATAAAACAGCAAGATAAAAAAATATATATTTTTATATTTTTAGATATATATATATATATATTTTTTTTTTTTTTTTAACAGTTTACTACATCAAAAGTCTTAAAAGACGAGCACAGAAAACAATTCAGTTCCCTCAGAGAAATGTCCCTTCATCTTCCACTTATCTGAAGTCAAAAACCTGAATGCCCAAGTGTGGGACTAATTAGGGTTTATTCTATCCTAAATAGAAACTAGCCAGCATAGCAGCCGTTGGTGAATGTGTCTTTTTCTTTTCTTTTTCTTTTAAGGTTGGCGTTTGTTCAGGTTGCCATCTTGTTTTGGGAATGAACTGGAATATGCTTACCTCAAAGGACAGTGGTAGCTTGACTTATGGGTTTAATTCATACCATGACCAAGCTCAAAACTCAATTTATTTGTAATTCACATCAAAATTCCTGACTGAAATGAACTGAAATGCCGAATCAAAGTCCCCTCCCCAAATGCTAGAAAGAAAAACAGCACTTCATTGTATAAAATTAAAGAGAAACGTGAAGTTGAACTGTTTTTATGAAGTGCATTGGATAAATAAGCTTAGTAAGTATTGTAAATCGGGATGAGGCTGTCAACATCAACAGTTGGGTCGTAAGTGTGCCTTGAGTGTGGCCTCGTGAGTGACAGCAAGAACATAGCCACTTAGTGTTTATGCGCTTCTGGGTGTGAGTTTTGGCTTACTACACAAGACAAAAAAAAAATGTCTGAAATTGGGCCATTCATAAATCAAGGTACCACTGTATAGTCGTACAGGACACCTGAGATGATGTTCTCACCTTGCCCCTGGTTGGAGGATCAAGCCCTTTAGACATGGACCTTTCCCCAACTCCACGAGGTACAGAGAAATCCAGTTTTTCCTTTGCTCCAGTAGACAACATTTGCCTCAGGCGCTGGTAGTCAGGCTTGTCTTGGAAGCCCAGAGATTTCGCGTACAGCAGCAGGGCAGCCACCTCCGCTGAAGACAAGAGGAACACAGTGCATGTCAAACAGATGTTTGGACATGCAAGTCCCAGAGTCAACTACTTTTTTTGAGTTTTTTCGAGAGTTTTTTACATATTGTCGTTTGCCGTGCACAAGCCGCACTTGTTGCATCTGTAATAATTGGCTTTTTTGGGGGGGGGTGTGTATACCCGTTCCCAAATTAGGAAGTTGAATAAATCAACTTGTTTTATTATTATAGTGGACTCCAAGGAGAGATTAAAAATGAGACTGAAAACACCTCATATCCATGGATTGTTATATTGACTCACTCTTACCGTTTATATTGAGAAATAGTCAAAAAAAAAAACGGAAGAAACATGTTTTTCTCCATTCTCACTAATCAGGAAGTGACCTTGACAAGGCACCGAAGCCCCCCTAGATTTAGCTAAATACTGGTTTATGAGCATCTTCATTCTTGACAAATATTTGCCTTGAACGCATAGTAAATAATGTTCAGTCCACTCAAAACGCCCCTTTGCACAGTGATTGGCAAAGCCTGTGCGTTCCAGAATTGGCCGTTGTCGTTTACTGGCGCTGCGGCGCAACAGACAGATTGGTATAGTGCCTGTATTTTGGGGTTGTGCCGCTGCTGACACGAAGTCAATCTTGATAAACCACCTGATGTTTCCATCAATCAATCGCATCTCACACGGTAGTCAAATGACTGTTCTGATGAATACAGTGGCACATGTAAACAGCACACTGGAATAGTTCACATGAAAACAGTTGACTACAGATCTTCAGAGTGAATGACAAAAAAGTTGACATGTAAACCAGGCTACAGATATACAAAAGAGGCTAGATTTCGATAACAGACGTGCCTATGTGGCGGCCATGTTGGTAGGGGAGACGCTTTAAAACTTTTCAGTTTGAAGCGTTTTTTTTTTTTTTTTTAAACAAAATATGTATTTACAATCATTTTGTACTGTACTGAATTGGGTGTTTTTAGTCTACGAAAATATCTTTCAAGTGAACTGACAATCGGCTTTAACGTACGTCCCCGCCGTTCTATTCCGTTAAACTGAGGTTCCACTGGAAATGTATAATGGCCTCCTCATATTTATACCAACACTTCCCTCCATAAATATTGGCATCTCTGGTTAAGATGTGATATTTTGCTTCTAATAAATTCAGTTTTTGTTTACATAAATATAGGTCCAAAATTTTAAAAGGGGAATATCCAACCTTCAAGTGTGTTTACTCAATGGGGGGGAAAAAAACACTACAATAAATAAGGACTCTTTTACATCAAATCATGTCTTCGACAATTATTAGCTTCCTTGATAATATTTTGTGCAACCCCCTTTTGCCAACAAACCAGCTCTTTGGCTTCTCTGATGTTTCACAAGATGGGAGAATACAGAAAAGGAAATCGCCAATCGTTCCTCTTTCTCTCTAAATTTTCCAGTGACCTGGGTCCTCTCCTCTGCACTCCACTCTTTAGATAACTCCACAGGTTTTCAATGGGGGTGAGGTCTGGGGATTGAGATGGCCATGGGAGAAGCTTGATTCTGTTTTTGAGGGGAATTTCTACAATTTTCACAACGAGTATGCGTATGCAATAGAAACACCAACATATATTTTACGGCTTTTAACACATCTTAACCAAGGGTGCCAATAAATTGATGGATAACCAGTTTTAAAATCAGAGGTTATTGATAATTGGCATTGGAAAAAACCGTTTGGTTACAAAACTGCAAATCTCAACATTATTAAAATTTCACACAATTTGCAATTTTAGTTCAGATTTTAGCACCATAAAGTAGATGCATATGATATGGTGGGCCACATAAAACGATCTGCTAGGAAAGGTCCGGCCTTGAGTTTGACACTTGTGAACTAGATTGTCATTCATGAAAGAGAAGGCAACACAACCCCCCCTCGATACTAATAGGCTGAAATGGGTCAAGGGCCATGGTAACACAATGTCAACACGCTGCACACGCTGCACGTTTACAGGAGCAACAAATTGTACTATTTCATTACTAAAGTGGCGAACACGCGCCCTCTTTCTATTTGATTCCGGTCACCTCTTATGTTCCGAGTCAGCAAAGCGATGAGCCAATGTCTCAAAAATATTACAATGACAAATCATACAGCGGCCTGGGTGTATAAACAGTGATTTTTCATGCCTGATTTATTCTGACAACATACAGGGCCAAAGATTGTAAACTCGAAGTTGAACATGTTAACGTGATTGTATCGTGGGGTCCTGAAAGTTGAACCATTCAATATTTTCAAGCGACATGACTCGTATGAACAAAACTAGATATTTACAACAGAGGAATGCTTAACTGAAGATCATAAGAAAAGCTTTATTTGTCTCACAATGGAGAAATTCCCAGGCATGCAGAAATTCTCATTGTGTTGAATAATTTGAGTTTTAAAAAAAGTCCGATTTCAAAATGTCATGTTTACTCTTAAAAGGTGTCATTGAAGTGACTGCAACTTGAGATTGTTGAGACTTACCTGTGCTGGCTCCACTTACTGAAAGCTGCTGGACAGACTCTGGCAGCTTATCCATCAGTCTAAGCACCAAGCAGGACAGATAAACCGGTGAGGGAACGAGAAGGGAAAACATTATGAGAGGGGAAACATTAAGGAGGAGATAGTAGGGTTGGGGAAAGGACACAGTGGCAATGAACTAAATTGAAGCAAATTATTCATCCGATTCTTATTACAAAATAGAGAACCGTCATAATTGGATTAGAGACAATTCTAACTTGTAACGTGTGAGTGGTACACGGGCTCTGCAATGCAATCTCATGGCTGAACTAAAATAGCAAATTATAAGCTTGAATCCAATTTCTTCTTCTTGAATTGGCTTGTGATAGTTTGATAATCTTGGAAAACACAATGTTGGGTCCTTGACCCGTAACCTGGAGCATCAAGTGAGATCGTGTCTGCTGTGGTAGGGTTTATGTGTCTTTAGTGCTTTGATGGAGCTCTGAAAAGGGAATGGCAGTTTTGAATTTGGGATATAGACAATGAAATTATGAAAAACTGATACAAGATGCTTCTGCAATGATTCTTAAAATGGCATTGCATTACATCAAAAAGTAGAGTTGTATCCCTGTTTTGTATATCCCTGTGTCTTTTGGACAGTATGTGTGCAAGTGCATGTGGGTATTACTTTTAATGAGAATTTCTAAGTATATTCTGAAATCCTAGTTCAATATTCCACTCCACTGGATGCTGGAATCCAGTGGGGTGGAATATTGTGCTCGAGAGGAGTGGGATGAAATTCAACTTCCGCTCACTAAAATCAACAGAAGCTGTCCTGGTCTTAAATTGTGCAATATATTTTTCCTCGATTACTTCAAAACACTATAAATTCAGCAATCACTGATTTAAAAGACAGATTCATCAATTATACCTCTTCCAAGTAAGCACTGTATGAGCAAAGTTTGTAGGGACCCACCTGGCCTTCGCTTCCATGACCTTAATTGCGTTCTTGAGATCATTTTCCCAAGGAAGAGAGCCACATAACCAGTGAAGAAGACAAAAACCGAGAATCTGGATGTCCCCACGTCTTGATGGAGCTTTGGCAAAAGAGAAACAAGATGTGACAAAACCGATACTTTTCATGATTCTATTTTCATCTTATTTGTCTGTTTTTATTCCTTTGTACTTCTGTTCACAACATCACCACAAAAATTAAACACACATTTTGTATTGGGAGCCACATACCGCACAACATTGCAATATGGGCGTACGGTGTCATTAACAAGCAGGCAAGTCATAGGCGCTACGATGTTGTTCTTTGGGAGGAAAAATGGGTATTTATGCTAGAGGTGTCAATTATCGCGTTAAATGCAAATAATTAATTACAGTCATATTTAGCCCATTATGTTTTTTAATCGCGTTAATCTAAATTTTAATCTCTAACTTTATTGTTTCTGTAGGTGGGTTGCCTTTTTGTAATATCCCTTTATATGTGTTGGCTTCCTGTGTTGGAGTTGTTGAGGGTGGAGAAACAACTGTCAGTCACAGCCTGAAGCGGACATTGATTGGCTGTCATTATGTTTGGGCTTGTTTAGCATAAGCTGATTGGCTCCCATTGGAGTTGGGCGGGCTAAGTAAGCAGCAGTGAGGAGAGGTGAAAATGGAGGAGCATGTGAGAGTTCTCTGCACAATGAATGGAAAATTTACTTTTCAAAAATGCCATGACGGCACTGTTGATCAAGGTAGAGTGTTTGTGCCTAATTTGTAAGGAGTTTGCTGACCACCGAAGCAGCTCAAGTTTAGCCTCCCACATTAATGCAAAGCACCCAGTCGTGAGTGCATCCACAGCTAATGTTAGCACCGAAAGCCTCAGCAATATAACGAGCTAAAGCAAAGCTCTTCACCAAACTAAACTCGAGAACACCCCGCATATGAGGCATGAAGTCAGCATAGCTGCTGTGTCCTCAGTAGCCTAACAGAAGTGGTCGATGTTTATTTCAGCACTTTATCATCTCATGATGAAAAGTGTTATTTCTGAAGTGCTAACTTACAGCACTGTGGATGAAGGGTCTCTTATTTATTTTTTATTATCCAAAGCAAGTTCAGTGTTGAGTACTTGTATTGCTTAGAAAAATGTTCTTACTGTTTTTGATATGTTAATCGAAGCACTTTTTATGGACCTGATGTTCTATTTTTATTTTGTAATTATTTGGAGATTTACAAAAAGAAACAAAACTGATATTCACCCTGGTGGTCAAAACTAAAGGTTGCAGGTAGGACTTGGGACAAGTCTCTACAGCAGCAAGTGAATGGCTAGCACTGCATCTGTTCAAGTCTGTTTACAAACAATGAAAGACTTTATAATGCCACTTTTTTTGTCTTTTGATCTGCCTCAATAATGTAATGAATTAAAAATGAAAATGGGGGTTTTCTTAGCACTTTTTAGATGAGATTAAAATATAGATGAATTAAACCAATTAATTACAGATCATAATTAATCTCGCAATTTTTAATCGCTTGACAGCACTAATTCATGCGTCAATATTTTTATTTTAACCACATTTTTATAAATAAATAATTGTAGAAGAGGCTACAAAAGTCCTAGCATGTTAACCTTTCCTATGGTTACTAATTTGCATACTTTGGATAACATTCTGTGTGAAAAGCAAGTTCAAAGTGACTTGGGTATGCACGGGGTCACATATGGCTCGAGAATTGGAGAAGGAGTTTGCGACACAGTAGGGAGTCTCGGGCTAGTGTGCGCACGGTGTTGTGAGTTCGTTTAGCAGTGTGCGTTGATTACCAGGGAGTTGTGTCATTCTTATTTAGGTGTCAGTAGTCATGCTGTTGGAACTGGCCATAATCTGGTCCACTGAAATATTTTGTACGAGTGTTTGATGCAATGTTTACCATGTACCCATGTTGCCGCGTAATGATCGTAAAGTTGTTGTCGCCTCATGAAGTCAGGTAGTGCAAGTGGAGCCAATTCAGTGTCACAATAAGAGCACGAGCTGGAAGTGCTGCTTAAATGTTAACAATTTAACTACGCTTTGTTTAATATGGCTGAAGTTAAAGTATATTAACCTTCCACTCGGTTATTGGCCTTTTATGTCTTTTTTTAGGAAGGGCACATAAACACATCCAGACCCAAATAATCAAAGCCTACAATTGTGTACCAATGTTTTATGAAGATAGAAGTGAGTTGAATAAGGAAAACTGGAGAAGAAAGAGCAAGGAAAGCCAAACACTTGTCATGTGTATTTAGCTGAAATACTTTTGAGTTGGCCAACACGCTGGTGTAAAAACAGCTCATTTTCCTCAATCAGTGAATAAGTTGCAGAACTCTCCTCTAATCATAGTTTATTTTGGGGTGAAGAAAATGCTAGTGTTGAATTGTTTATCACTCAGACATTTGAAAGAATGGGGTTTTGTTTGTTTGATTCATGGAAATCTAACGTGCAACAGCCTATCATGTCGCAAAGCAGCTTCGAAGCATGTATGTGTGTTGCATTCGAGCCAATCATTCACGCACGCATGAAGTTGTTTACAGGGTAAGAATGATGACACCCCACTCTGCCCCAAGCATTTCATGTGCCCCCACCCCCTAAAGAATGAGGTCTGGTGATGGCTCTGCTGCCATTAATGTCCAAATCAATGTTTGGAATTTGGAGTAAAACGCCTAGTATTTAAGTGCTGCATCAGGTGAAATTATGAATTGGGAACAGCTATAAATTTCCATCCACCACAATCACTAGCTGAATTACTAATGAATTCTTACACAGTATTTCAAAAGAAAATGCAATGAACTTAAGAGTGCTTGCACATTACGGTATGTGAGAGAAACCGCATGGATCTACATTAATTTGTGAAGTGCATCAATACTTGAAAACCAAGTCCATCCACAAGGGTCGAGCCCGGAGAGATTTAGCAACTCAATACAGTAATGGCCGTCACACGTCTTTGGAGAAATTACGTATCGACTGGTTTCATTTGAGGGGAGAAACCTCCTCCCTGAGCCATGACTGGCATTGATTCTCCCCAGCCAACGGGGAGGTCTAATGGGAAGCATGGTCCTGGCCACCCAGGACAAGATAATCAACGGGTTGGTGGTAATCTGACTGCACGATAACAAGTTTGAGCTGTAGCTGTGTAGGCATTTATAAATCTTGACTTATTCATTTTTGAAGCATTCCGTCTTCACAGTGTGCACAGAATGGCAGCATGTTGGCATGTATGGTTAAGGAAAGAGTTGAGAAAAGGAAATTGCTTCCAATGAAACGATGTTGAGTGAATAAAACACTCGTCGGCCTTCACTCGAGTCATTAAATTGCCTGCACGTGGCGGGGAGGCTGAACAATCAATGAGGATCAGAAAGCAATGAGAAGTGTTCTAAGGCTTTAAACTATCTACTTACTTATAACCCTTAACTGCTGAGAAAAACAGCAACACAAACGCAACTGGAGGAACGGTCATGCAAGATCCTTCAAAAGTTTCCACTGGGTTAAAATAACTGACATATACACTCACTGGCCACTTTATTAGGTATTCCTGTCCAACTGCTCGTTCACACTTTTTTCTAATCAGCCAATCACATGGCGGCAACTCAGTGCATTTAGGCATGCAGACATGGTCAAGACAATCTCCTCCAGTTCAAACCGAGCATCAGTATGGGGAAGAAAGGTGATTTGAGTGGCTATGAACGTGGCATGT